ATTATTATTATTATTATTATTATTATTATTATTATTATTATTATTATTATTACACCCTGGATGGGACGCCAGTCCATTACAGGGCCCACACAGACACATCCTCATACAAGGATTAATTTTCTCAGAGGCTGATTAACCTACCAGTATATCTTCGGAGCACCTGGAGAAGGAAACTCGTGCGAACACGAGGAGAACATGCAGACTCCACACAGACAGAATTGAAGAGCTGCGGGTTAGCATTGCTAACCACTGCATCACCATGCCCCCTGTTGTATCCCCCCATGCTCTATAATTACGGGAGCAAGGAATGAAGAAGGGTTTGAAGAAGGGATCAACAGATTGCCAATTTGTTTCTGTACTTCAGGTGATTTTTCTTCAGGCAGCTTTGAAAGAACCCCGATGAGCTCCAATGCAAATGATACCCTGTTTCTTGATTACACCTTCAGAGGTTTACCTGGGAGTACTGCTTCACGCGTGGGCTGTGCTATTAAACGTCCGTGTGGACCACATGGGTTAGCGTTTAGTTCAGTGCTGTTTGTGTCCAGCAGTGATTGTACAGTACAACCCGAACTAACCGTGTGGGTCTGGGGTAGCTGGTAAATTCGTCATCTGATATCAGCGCACAGAGACTGCAGTGTTCCGGACAGATTAAAAGGGAGGAGAAAGATAAGAACGTGCCTGGGCTGATATATCTAATTAAATTCAAAGTATCCTCCCCTGCCCCTTTCTATAACGCTGCAACCTTTTTTAATGTATTTTTAGTGAGTGTATTTTGAATACCAAATGAATTAACGCCTAATTAAATCATTGCTTATGGGTACTTTCATGTCCAAGACGGACAATTTAAGGAAATACTAGTAAATAAAATATATATTACTATGTAAAATACATATTTTGCACAGCGATGCCTTAGCTATTTGCTGGCACTGATGTCCATTGGCTGTTTAAACGTAGCCTTACCCATAAGGAGAACCGCAGTCCTAACCCTCAGTCCAGTCCCTGTGTGTGCTGTGTCCAGCCTGCTGGAAGTGTGTTTGTGTGTAGAAACATGGACGGGTTGGGCGCTGCTGAATTCTCTTTAATGAGGAAAATATATTGTATAGTTGCTCTGGCAAAACGTATTTAGCAATACAGGATAACGGAGGACAGGCTGAGGGAGAGCAATGTGAGAGAAGTGTGGAATGGCATGAGGAAGATCTTCGGATACAAGTTGTCCAGCGGCCAACAGAGTGAGGGGGGCCTGGAGAGGGCCGATGAGATGAATCTTTTCTT